AAAAAATTTATACTAGCCCTAGTATCTAGCAAAGCTTTAAACTATTTATTTAAATTATTTTTTTAAACTTATAAATCCGCTAGAATAAAAAATATAGTAGGTTTATTTACACTAGTTAAAGTTAATAGCTTAGGGCCTAGTAATTACTATTTAATTTTTAGTTTTTTATTTACTTTTATTTTAATTAAGTAATTTTTTATAAAATACCCTTCCGCGCCGCACGTATAGTAATAATTTTTTTTTTTTTATTTATTTTATTTTTTAGGTAAAAGCTAACGCTTAGCTTGTGCTAGCTTTTACTTACTAGTTTTACCCTTAAAGCTATAATAATTTTTTTAACCTTGCTTTTTTAAGGGCTGCCCTAATAAATTTTAGTTTTTTTTATTTACTAAAATATTTTTATTTTAACTTTAGTTAATATTTTTTACTAGATTCTTGTCCTTTATAACAGGAGGGTTTTTATTATTTTTTTTTTAATTATTATTTTTAGGCGCTYTTTACTTTTCGCGTGCTAAAATTAACTTATATTAGGTTATTTTTATATTAACACCTTTAAAGGTAATTAAAAAATTCTGCAGGCGCGCTATATACTACTAATATAGCTTATTTAATATATAAATATAAATAATAACTTCTTTAGCAGTGCCCCGGAGGGGGTTAGAAATTATTTTTTAAAACTTTACTAACTATACCTTTAGTAATTAGCTATTTTATTAGTTATTTATAAAATACTTTATTTTTTAACTAGCTTAATTTTTTTTTAGGTTAACCTATTAGCATATAAATTACTTAAATATTACCCATATAGGTGGCTTAGTAAGCTTTTTTTACTTTACACACTACTTGTGTTATGTATTTTCTTTAACTTTGCTTATTAAATAAATAACTTTACTTATTTTAGTACTATACTATACAGGGGCTTTATTAAATATATTTTTAAAATTATTAAAAAATATTTTTAATTTTATTAAGTTTTTATTATTAAAAATCTTAATATTTAAAGGCTTTAATTTCTTTAGCTTAGGCTTACTTTATAATAATTACCATGCTAATACCTTAATAACCTTATTTTTAATAAATATTTAAGGTTATTTATGCGCTTAGTCCTAGTTAGGTAGTATTTTACTTATAATACTATTATTATTATCCAAGCTTAATAAGTTAAATAGCTTTTTAGGATTTTTAGCAGGCGGAGGTGGCCTGTTTAGCTACTAATTTTTTTTAGTTTACTAAGCTATTTACTTACTCTTATTAGGCTTTAGTTTTAATAATATATTTTATTATAATATTATAGTAAATAGCCTAGCCACAGGCGTCCCTAAGGTAATATTTTTAATTAAAATAGCACTTATTATAATATATTTAGGGTTAATATATTATATAGGATTTTTAAAAAAAAAGGTGGTAAAAAATCTTTTTAAGCCTTACCCTTTAAAGGGGATAAGTTATTTAGTTTATAGTTTAAGTTATTAACCTTAATAATAAGGGTATTATTATATATTAATAATATAGGTTTAGGTAGGAATAATAGTCCCAAGCTTTTTTATACCTAAATTTATATTTTAAAAACCTTAACTAAAATAGCTCTGGTCCGCCTTTATTTATTTAAAAATTTAGTTTAGGATACCATATTAATAATATTTAAAAATTAATAAAAAAAGTAATTTTAACTATAAGGGCGCCCTAGCACTTAAATATTTTTTACTAATAATAATAAAGCTTAGTAAAATATTTTTAATTAATAAAAATAAAGTATTTAAAACCTTAATAAATTTAACTAAAAAAATTACTTAAAAAACTAAATATATTATAGCTTTTAGCCTTTTTATATAAGCCTTGCCCGGAGGCCTAAGGCCTTTAAATAATTTTTTAAGTTATTTTTATTTAAAAAGTAGGTAATATTTAAATATTTTTATATTCACGCCCCTTATAACTACTTTTTAATTATTAGGGTAATTTAATATAAAACACGCCTTTATTTTACTATTTAAATAGCACCTAAAACCCAAGGTCCCTAAGCTAAGGTCCCTAGTTAAAGCTAATATTATATTAAACCTAATATTATATTAAATTTAACGTTATATTAAGTTTTATATAGTAATTTATAGTAATAAGGTTTACTAAGCTAAATAAATGCCTAAGGCATCCCGCACGGGTGATGTTAACGCTTCGCGGTGGCATGACCTGGGTGCCTCAGGCATCGCTCAATGGCGTGACCCGGATCAATGTCGGCCCTGACAGGAACTTATTTTTACCTTTTTTTTTATTTATTAATAAACCTACTTTTTTTATAAACTTGGCTGTAATATTAAGGTATATTTTAGTAAATGCCTTTTAAGCGGCGGCAAACATGTTTTTTTAAGTAGTTATTATATTAAATAAGTTATAAAGCTACTTAGCGCGGCCACGGGTTTATAGTTAAGTAAAAGTTAATATTTAAGTAAATACTTAGCTATTTACTAGGTAGTATTATAACTGCTTTATAACATGGTTATTATTTTTTTTTTTTTTATTTTTATATAGTTTTTTTTTGCGGCACGGGCAGTAGTAATAATATTTTTAATATTAATTTTTAAATTATTATAGTTAGTTACTAGCTTTGCGGACTATTAGTTAGGGTACTTATTATAATAATTATAATATTTACTTTTTAAAATATAATAGTAGTTAGCGCAGGCGCCGGACAGTAATTTATTAATAATAATATAATTTATAAATAATTTATTTTTTTTTATATACTAAACGCAGGGCGTAAAAAGGCGCTTTTTAATAATTTATATTATAATTACTTTTATATTACTAGGTAATATAAAGGTGGCCTCCAGGCGCTTAACCTATAACTTTAGTTTTTATATTAATAATATCTTAGCTAGTGCTTACTAGTAATAGTTGCCTATAGCCTTTATATAATTTATAATATATTATATAGCCAGGGCGCCAGGTAATAATTTTATAATAAAGTATAAAAATATAATAAATAATATAATTATAAATTATTTTTTATAATAATATATTAAAAAAATAATATAATTAAGTTTAATCCCGGGAGGTAGCCATAATAATATATAATTTAATATTATAAAGTTAAGTTTTAGGTATTACAAGAATAAATAAGGTAATAACTATTTATTATTTATTAAAAGTAAAATATAACTTAAATAATAATAAAACAAGGCTATAATATTTAACTAGCAGGCTATAAACTATAATAACATACTTTAAATAAGGTTTTTAAAGTTATTAAGTAGTTAATTTTATTAGTTTAAAGTTAAACAAAAGATATTAATAAACTAAAATAATATTAATATTTTATTAAATACTTACCTTTAAATACTAAATCTTTACCTATGGTTTATATAAGCTATTTTTAATAATATTTATAATTAACTATACCTAATAAATTATAATAAATTTAAACTTTTTTATTACTAGGGTCTAGCCCCAGGGAAAATAAACTAAAAAAAATTACTTACTTATTATTATTATTATATTTAATACTTTTAAAACTAGCTTTATTAATAAGGTTATTTATTATAAAAATTATAACATGGGCTATAGTAGCTAGCCTAGTTATAATAATATTAAAGTTTATTATTATTATAATTATAAGCTAGTACAGGTAGTAGGCGGATTAAATAATATATATAGGTAAAGTAATAGCATTTACTTTTTTTTTTTTTTNGCCTTTTTTTTTTATTTTTTTTTAGCCTTTTTTTTTTCTTTCTTTATTTTATTATTATTATTATTATTATTATTACCTAGTATAAAAACTAAATATATTAGTTAATATACTTACAGGTAAATAAAGGCTATAACTTATATTTATTAATATATTATGCACCTAAACTATTTTAATAATAATTTATATAATTATTATTAAAGTAGCCTAGCATGGTAATATATTTTATAAATAGCTTATAGCCTTAGGTATAATATTTATAAATTAAATTATTTTTAGTAAATATATTAATATATTACTTAATAATAGCTTTTTAGTTAATAGGGCAGGCTATAATTTTTTTTATTATATTAACTTTATTAGCAGGCTTATAAAGCACAAGCTTATGCTATAAATAGTATAATTACTTATAAAATTTTTTTAAAATTACTAATTTATAGCCTAAATAATTTACTATGTTAGTAATATAGGCCGCTAGCAGCCAGGTTAATAAAAAAGTAGGTGTATAAGTAAAAGTAAGCAAATAAGTAAAAAAAGTAGTATTATTATTACCTTTAGTATTAGTTATTATAATAAAAGGAATTTAAAAAATTAGGGGTTTATAAATTATAGGTTTATATAAATAAGCTATATATTATTTATATAATTTATTTTTTTATTATTTTTTAAATATATTTATTAAATTTACTATTATTGCGGTTATTAAAAAAAGTATTATTATTTAAAATAAGCTGTTAATAAAAGTATTAAATATTAAATAGGCTATTAATAGTAGTATTTTTAGTATTTTAGGCGGGATAAACTTTATTCCGGCCTCGCGCATTACTCCCGGCATTAAAGCCTGCGCCCTAGAAATAACGGGACCTACGTTCTGGGGCTGGGGTCTCCACCTCGAGCCCAGGGCCCAGGCCCACTCAAGCATGCTCAGCCCCCAAGCCTCCAACATACTTTGCCCTGGGCATAAAATCAACTCAGCTTTTATTGACATAGGCCCATGCTCTCCTGGCAAGACAGTAGAGGCCATGTGAGCACCTTCAATATGCAGGCTCGAGGGTATTCGATTTCTAGATTGCTAGTCCACGGTCTTGGACTTTACGAGAGGGTGATTGTATTGCCCGGCATATAGATTATCCGTCCTCCGTTCTCCGACCGTGCGGATATCGGAGTACTTTATCTCCGAAAGGCATCAATATCATCGAGGCCTGGCATCCTGAAGACACGAACTCAATTCTGCAGATATCCGGCTCTGTGATTATTTGTCCGTCCATTCGGCTTAGAGGCGGCAGGATTGAGCTCTCTAAATGACGCTAAAACCACAGAAATGGCATCCACAACTATAGAACCCGAAATGGACGTTGGTGTTCCCGAACCTCGGGGCACGAAACGCCCCATCGATGAGAATGAGGGTCCTCGTAAACCTAAAAAGATCAGGGTAAGCCAGTACCATCTGTTCCTGTGCATGCAAATTAACATGATAGGCAGGCGCTCGATCCAGATGTTGTGAACAAGATTGCAGCAGGAGAAATCATTGTTGCTCCCATGCATGCACTCAAAGAATTGATAGAGAACGCAGTTGATGCTGGGTCAACGTCAGTAGAGATTCTTGTCAAGGAAGGAGGTCTCAAGCTGCTCCAAATCACAGATAATGGCCATGGGATAGATGTATGATTTCCTTCCCTGGCTCATAACATGCTCACTATTATGGTCCTACAGCGCGATGACCTGCCCATTCTCTGCGAGAGGTTTACAACCTCGAAACTCAAAGAGTTCGAGGACCTCACGTCAATAGCCACGTATGGCTTTCGTGGCGAGGCTCTAGCCAGTATAAGTCATATCGCCCATCTCACCGTTACCACAAAGACGGCAGATTCAAGCTGTGCTTGGAGGGCTCATTACGGCGATGGCAAGCTAGTGCCCCCAAAGCCAGGGCAGCCCGCGGCACCCAAAGCTACTGCAGGGCGTGGGGGGACACAAATCACAGTGTGTTTATGATTAGTGTGTTCAGAATGAATGCGTTTCTAACCCTAGCAGGTTGAAGATCTATTCTATAACGTGCCTACCAGACGCAGAGCATTCCGTTCCGCTAGCGAAGAGTACGCCAAGATCCTCGATGTAGTCGGCCGCTACGCCGTACACTGCTCTGGAGTTGCATTTTCATGCCGCAAATATGGTGACGCTGGCGTCAGCATATCTACGGCCGTTGCTCTCAATACAATCGACCGAATCCGCCAAATCCACGGAAGCGCAGTAGCCAACGAGCTCGTCGAGTTCAGCGCCAAGGACGAGAAACTGGGATTCTCGGCAACCGGACTCGTCACGAACGCAAACTACCATGTTAAACGAACCACAATACTTCTCTTCATTAATCACCGCTCAGTCGAGTCCACGGCTATCAAGCGAGCCATCGAACAAACATATTCTAGCTTCCTCCCCAAAGGCGGCCACCCCTTTGTCTACATCGACCTCGAAATCGAACCACACCGTCTAGACGTAAACGTGCATCCGACGAAACGAGAAGTCAACTTCCTCAACGAAGATGAAATCATCGACACTATTTGCGCAGAAATCAGGACCAAGCTCGCCGAGGTCGACTCCAGCCGAACATTCCTAACCCAAACACTCCTCCCCTCCGTGCAAACCCTCGGCCCATCACATTCAACCCAGGCCCAAGACCCAGATACAGCACTCAGAACACCCGCGCCAACAAAGAAGCCATACGAACACAACCTCATCCGCACCGACTCCCGCGTCCGCAAAATAACCTCCATGCTCTCACCAGCAACCGCAACCCAACAACCCACCCCCGACGACCCAGAAGCAGAACCCCCATCCACCCAAACAGTCCTCGACGAAGGCCTCACCTACACAACAACAGACCGCGAACCGCTAAAGATAGCGCTGACATCCGTGAAAAACCTCCGCGCCCAAGTCCGGGACTCAATGCACACTCCTCTAACCGAAACTATCGCCTCACACACCTACGTCGGCCTCGTCGACGAACAGCGCCGCATCGCAGCCGTGCAGGCCGGCGTGAAGCTCTACCTCATCGACTACGGCATGTTCTGCAACGAGTTCTTCTACCAGCTGGGCCTTACAGATTTCGGGAACTTCGGCACAATCAGGTTAGAGCCGCCTCCTAAACTCGTTGATCTGCTGAGAATTGCGGCGGAGGGGGAACTCGAAGCTGCTACGCAGGAGCAGCAACACGCCGACACAGAAGAACAACGCTCGATCTTCGCCAACGCCCCGGACCTCGTCGCGAAGACACTCCTCGAGAGAAGAGAGATGCTCTCGGAATACTTCTCCATCCATATCTCTGACGGCGGGCACCTCCTTACCCTGCCGCTCTTGCTGAGGGGGTATCTTCCGTGCCTGGGTAAACTCCCGCGGTTCCTGCTTAGATTAGGTCCGTACGTCAACTGGACGAGCGAGCAGGATTGTTTCCGCACGTTTCTGTCTGAACTAGCCGCGTTTTATACACCGGAGCAGTTGCCTAGGCCATCGCCACCAGGGCCGCAGGGTCAGAATCAGGAGGACATGGGCTCGGATAATACCGAATCCGGTGCCGAAGATGAGTTCGTCACTAAGCGGAGGGCCCAGATGGCGAGGATGCTGGAGCATGTAGTCTTCCCTGCGTTGAGGGCGAGGCTGGTGGCTACGACAAGGCTGCTTAGGGGTGCTGTGGAGGTGGCTGATCTAAAGGGTTTGTATAGAACCTTTGAGCGCTGTTGAGTCGTTCTTAGTGGATACTGCTGATGTACAGTGCCTATGATTGACGAAGTCGGAAGAGATTAACTAAGAGGTCGGAGATTAGATATCGACTTCTCGGACATGATACGTATGTTGTTTGACGGAGGATCAATGGCCAAAACAAGTCGATTGCTCGTTACTTTAAAGACTCAAACAACCAACGCCAAAGAAGATATGCCAGAGTAGATAATGTACGTAAGGGTCAATAATCAGTCAACGCTGTGGGTTACACGGAGCCGTAATACGTCCAGAGCAGAGGGTTCAGAATGCAGGTTATGGAGAAGAGAGCGAGTGCGCCAGAGAGAGCAGTGGTATCAAGACAAATAAATGAGTGATGAGAGAATTAGTAATCTGCGACTGAGTACCCTAGTCGGTCATTCGCTTCAAGGACTCTGCCAAACACGGATCAGTACGATAGACAAGACAGTATGGTATGTAACAGGAAACTCACGAGTACTGCTTCGTTAACGTCCCTTCGCCACCCTTAGACAGGTCGATACTGAAGACGTAGAAGTTGCCATCACTAGTGACAACCATTACCTGGGGCGTATTGCTGCTCATCGCAACAACGCTCCGTAACGGGCCTGCGTTTGCATTTGGCCCCTGTCCCTGGTTCGGCTTGGGAATTTTTATCCAGGCGAAATCGCGCGCTGGCTCCCACATCTCGCTGACGCCCTTGGGCAAGTAACCACCCACCTTGGCCGCAAAAGCGCCGCCAACGTTTTGTGACGTGCGACGTAGCATGCCCATCAAAGTTCCATTGTGCTTCCGGGATGCTAGGTCTGAGGAGCCGGTGTCCTCGTCTGTACCTTCCCGGTCCGTGGATTGACTGAGCGAGCTCAGACTACGTCGTCGTCCCGTAGTTGAGGTATTCGTTGGTGAAGCTTCTTGGAGCTGTGATGGTTGTGATAGCTTGAAAAGGTGGATGGTCTCAGTGGATGACGAGACGCAAAGAAGAGTTGACGTCGTGTTAAAGGACATGCTGAAGATCCTTGACGGTATTGAGCCGCGCCGGAACTGATATAGCTTGTGGCCGTCTGGCACAGAGAACACTCGAATGATAGTTCCCTTGTCTGAAGCAGTCGCAATCAGGGTACCGTCACTGTTGAGCGTAATACATGCCAGCGGAGATCGATGAGCTTCAATCACGTTGATAGCTTCAAGTTTCAAGGTGTCGAATATGAGGACCTCGCCACTTGTCGGGGACACATGCGTGTTTCCAGGGGGCGCATGAGCGGGAGGGTTGAAAGACGAAGGGGCTGCCTTTTGGGGCAGAGGATATGCGAGATAGCAGTTCTCAGAAGACGGTGACAGAGCGCACAGGGCTGTAGCTTGTTAGACTAGGTGCGTCCAACTGCGCAAAGAACTTACCATTCGGATTCGGTGAAGTCTCGATCGTATACAACAGTTTCATGGTTTGGATATCATAGAGGTAGATCTGATCCTCGAGGACAATAACCAGCCGTTTTCGATTCAGTTTCACAGCGAGGACGGTGGTTGGGAAGGTCAACTCGCATATTGTAGATTGCCGCTATAGTTCGGATACAGTCAATCATCTGAGTTGGACGATGACGTTGTTCGAGTTCAGGATGCTACAGTATACCGAAGAGTCTACGCACCTTAGTATTTGTGATCTGGAGACGACGAGGTGAGAGTATAAGCGCCACTAGAGAGGTCGAGAAGAGCATCTCGATGATGGCGATGTTGCCATCCTTGGTTTCGTAGCTCTTCGCAAAGGGATCTGTGGTGAATATACGGAATCCCTTGGAGGTAGCTGGTGGGTGTCAAGCAGAGTCCCCGAGTACACAGCGTACAAAGAGTGTCTTACCTACAGCCAGGTAGCTATAGTCCTGGTTGAACGTCACAAAGTTCATTGTCATCTCGCCGGTGATTCGTCCTGATCCAGCCACTGCTTTGTCGAAATGCGGTCTACAGGAAGCTGCTCTTGTAGCGATGCCGTGAGATTATTATAAGGCAGAAGGATATACAGCGAAAGGGAACGACAGCGACATAGAATCGGGAATCAAGCGGGCGACTTTGGTTCGAGCTCTAAGTGGAGGGGTTCGGCAGCGCCCATCACAGGGTCCAGGAACGGTCACTCAGTGCAGGTTGTCGCCACGCATCCCCTGCTTGTGCCTCGCTGACTCGCTGGTTTGTCGCGTCGCGTGTCTCGTCTATGTATGTAAGTTATGCAAGGTTGCGACCCAAGGAGAGATATGTATGGAAGAAAGGCAGCAGAATGTCCAGCAGATGGCGGCCGCGAGATCGAAGATCGCCGCCTCGTTAACCGCGGGCGGGCGCCAAGCGCGGCAGGGAAAGAAGGACGCTCGGACCACTTTGAGATTTTTAGATGGCGGCCTTCTTGAATCTATCCCACTAACCCCACCATCCTACAACTACCGCTGGACGTTGTCATGGCCTCCTCAGTGCAGCCTGATAAGCCGATGGCCCCCTCAAAGTCTAAGCAGCCTGCTAAGGCGGCTGTCCCGACAAAGGAGGAGAAGTCTGCAGATCTAGTCATGGGAGTAAGTACTCCGTCCTGCATTCTGAATCGAACTACAGTCCAGACAAGAACTAATGGAGCATCTACTTTCAGACGAACAATAGCAGTATAGTGTCAAAACGCAGCGTCGAAATGTTATACTACCCCGAGCCCCATTTCTTCCGCTACTTCGTCAAAAAACCCCAGAGACGCGCCCCGTTAATAAACCGCGGATACTGGCTTCGAATGCACGCGATGGAGGAGTCCGTACGGCGTTTCATGCGAGAACCCTCAGATAAACCCAAGTTTGTCCTTAATCTAGGATGTGGATTGTGAGTCGTAGACGAACCGTACCAGGAGAGAGAGACGACCGTATACTAAGACCACCTTGACTCGTAGTGATCCTCTCCCGTTCATCCTCCTCAGTGCGGACCGGTCCTTATGTAGTCAAACAACCTTTGTGGATATTGATTACGAGAAACTCATGCTCAATAAGAAGGCCGCGCTCCGGGAAGCAGGCGCTCTCACGCAGATCCTGGAGAATGTAGAGTTTGCTTCTGATGAGAGCGCTGTGCAGATACGCAGTGGGCAATATGTCGCTGTCGGGTGCGATCTGAAGAATCTGGATAAACTGGACCGTGTCCTGAAGACTGAGGTCCTTCCCGCCGACTGTTCGGTTCTCTTCCTCGCCGAGGTGTCGCTCACGTACATGGACGTCAAATCAGCCAATGCTGTTGTCAAATGGGCCTCCAAACTAAGCAATGGTTCGCAGCCACCACAAACCATACAAACATATCTGTAACAGCTGTGCTAACGCCCCTACAGACGCCCAATTCTGCATCCTAGAGCAGTTCTTCCCCGATGGCTCCAACCACCCGTTCGCATCAACCATGATGAAACACTTCGGCAAGCTAGGAGCGCCCCTTTACTCCATCCACGAGTATCCGTCTCTGACCGACCAGGAACGCCGGTTCACGGAAGCCGGCTGGACGCATGCCCATGCACGCAGTCTCTGGGATCTTTGGTCCGACGACGAGTTTGTGTCCAGCGCCCTCCGCACTTCATTGGACTCCGTCGAATCGTTCGATGAGTGGGAGGAGTTTGCGCTCTTTGCGTCGCATTATTTCCTCTTACACGCTTCTACAAGACCTGGGACGGCGGATGTGAAGCGCACGGCAACAAACGGTGGTCCTAGTCACCAGGTGGTCAATAAGTCGGATGGATTCAGGCTCGTCCCCAATACCTCTCCACCCACTGGTCAGCGGAGATTCGGTGCTTTGGTTCCTGGAAGCGAAGGGGCTGTTGGGATCCATTCAGGATGGGGCCGGCAGACGCGAGTCGCTGATACCGATCTATACGCGCCGTCGAAGGAGGGCACTGGCTCGCATGCCCCGTTCCCACCATCTAATGAAATCTCCGCGCGTCTGTGCCACACAATCACCACGTTCAATGATAGCGGTGATTGCCTACTCGTCGGCGGGCGGACCTCACCCGCTTCCGCGCTCCATGATACGTGGGTGCGTAGAAACAACGCGTGGCAAGCAAGTGCCAGCCTCCCAGTCGGTCGTTTCCGACACTGTGCGACGAGAGTTACACTCGACACAGGATCTGAAGACGGCAGTAGCAGTGTGCTCGTATATGGTGGAAAAACAAGTCACGGCACAACGCTCGATGCATGGCTGCTCTGGAGCGATGTCGATAATGGATGGAAGACAGTTACCGTTCAGACCAAGAACGACCGAACCGCGCCAAAGGCCCGGTTCGGAGCATGCCTAGCCAATGTCAACAATACATCTGGTGTCTTATTCGGAGGTGTTGGGGCTGACGGCACGATCTTGGAAGATTTTTGGACTTGGAGCTTATACAAGCAAGCTGATGGGTCTGTATGCGTGGAGTTGACGGACCAGACTGAGAGCATCAAGACTCTCTCTTCATGTTATGATCTTCTCCCGCGATTTGGGGCTACAGTGGCTTCCACATCGCGGGGGCTGGTGGTCGCTGGTGGTATTATCCCTCGACGCATCGTGCCCTGCGACAGCGAGATTCTGCTCCTTGATTCGGCCGTGCTGCTCAAGTGCATTGAATCCGGTTATCCCATAGGCGCACCCGTTCTATCAACCATAGGGTTAAGCCCTGCGTACAGCGGACCACGCCCGTTGCTAGTTGGACACGTCTCTCACGCCGCTAGCCCTAACCAAATCCTGCTGCTGGGCGGCGGGGCCGTATGCTTTTCGTTCGGAACGTTTTGGACAGAAGGAACCTGGCTGTTGAGCCCAGCGGACAAACAGGACCAGATCGAAAACAATTGGGCTCTAGTCCGTTCAAACGACGAGCAGTCAACTCAAGAAAAAGCAGCTGCGGAGAAGCCCGCTAAGACAAAGAAACAGCAGCAAGCAACCAAGAAGCACAAGCCGAAGCACTATAAATCCACGACGAAAGTGGCGCCAATCCCTCGCGTCAGCGTTAACTCGGCAGCTGAGTTCCAGCAGATACTGGATGATGCTAGACCTGTTATCATTGAGGGTGCGGATATCGGGCCTTGCACTGAGCGCTGGACGAAGGAGTATCTTGTTGATACCGTTGGGGCCGATCGTAAGGTAGGAGGACATCTGCGCCCTTTCACCCGAGTTAGTGATTGACACAAGTTGGCTCGATGTAGGTAATAGTCCACGCCGCTTCGTCGGAAACGATGAGTTTCCAAACAAAGAACTTCAAGTACGAAGCCAAGCCATTCGGAACCTTCATGGACGAAGTCCATGCCGGCGGACGGCAGTACCTGCGCAGCATTTCCGAGAAGCAACCCGCCAAGTTACCGGCGAACCTAGCTGCGGATTTTCCCAGCTTAGGCGGTGATTTCCGACTACCAGAGGCATTGAAGACGGTTGTCGAGAATGCGCATAGTTCGCCATTGAGGATTTCGGGGCCTGTTACGTTGTGGTTGCATTATGATGTGAGTTTGTTTGACCCGCCCTTTTTTTGTGTGTGATGTGGGCTAACGAGTCTCCTTGTTTACTGTAGGTGATGGCAAACGTCCTCTGTCAAATCCAAGGCGAGAAGCGGCTTATTCTTTACCCGCCCAGCGACGTGCAGCACCTTGATGTCCCGGCCGGCGCATCCAGTTCTAACATCAATGTATTCCAGAATCGGGCGGACGGGGCTATAGCGATGATTCCGCGCACGTCCCCTCACGAAGCGCGTATGAAGCGCGGCGATATACTCTTCATTCCGCCACTGTGGCTGCATACAGCTGCGCCAACAGGAGAGGTAAGCGTGGCGGTCAATGTTTTCTTCCGCAATCTGTCGCAGGGGTACGCGCTTGGTCGGGACGTCTACGGAAATCGCGATGTACAGGCCTATGAAAAGGGGCGTAAAGACCTCGAGAAGATGGTGAAATCCTTTGGCGGGTTGCCGCCGGATATGGCACGGTTCTATCTCCTACGGCTTGCGGATGAATTGCAGGAGATGGCTGAACAGTGAAGGATGTTTGGGCCATTCGTCGGGCCTTCAATCGGGCCTCCTTACCTAGATAACTGCGGGCCGGGGCCTTGATCTGGGCAGCCGTGCTGGCATTTATAAGCCCTCGGCTGCTTGGGTGAGAACTAAAGCACGGAGTACCAAATGGAGATCGGGGTGCGTCGGGTGTCCAGCGCTGTGAGTACCGTCTTGGCTCATGTAGGCAAGCAGCTGCAGGATGTTGTGAAACCGGGACAGCGCAAACATTGTTTGACGAGGTACCAATAGGAGGGTAGCGAAAACGGTTGGCGAGGGGAGAGGCTTCCGACACAGCTTTGTTCACAGGTCGGCTGGGCGCCAACTCAACAGGGGGCGTATGCCTACGTCATCAACCTTGAATGGACGGGCGGGGATGCATTAGTTCAGGTTACCCCACGATAATTTGAATCCCAATCCCAATAGGAATGATTCATGCACAGTCAAAACCGGCGAGGCAAAGCTCTATCGATGCAGGTTCGCAGGCTAACTGGATAATATTTTCGCCCTTGATTTCATTGCGTTACTCGAGATTGCTGCTGGGATGGGATCTTGTACCACCCAAACATGGATGTCATTGGGTAGATTCTTCCCAAAAAGTCATCTGAGCTTAAAAGTTCAGAAACGGCCGATGCCAATGATTCATTCCCGCCGAAGGAGGTTCTGACTTCGAGGTTCGAACCTGAAATGCAAAATCCCCACATCTAGTTCCCCGGATGAACAGTCGGCACCTAATCATTAGGGCTGAAAGCCTCGCCCCGTTCATGATGCAACGAGTGTCGAAAACCGCCTGGGGTTCAAAGCGGAGCAGGGTTGTCGCCATCGCTACTGGCCATCCAGGCCGAAGGGTAGGCGCATGACTGTAGCGCAACCATGGAAACGGCAGATGCGCCAACCAACATGCAAGAATTCCAGTAATCGCTGCGGATACAGATGGCTGGAACGTTTACGTGTGGATTGCACTGCATCCAAGCAATAATAGCCCCGAAAAGGGAGGGAGCAGAAGATCGCTGGGCTAATGGGCACAAAGGGCCCCTGGTCATTTTGTACACTGTAAGCCGAGGGTTTGTGGTCGAGCCAGAGCCACATCCAGACTGCAGCTGCACCCAGACCGAGACGCAGAATTTCTTAACGACCCTATTGGGCGAGAGTAGAGTCGTGCTGGGTTATTGGCGTCAAGACTCTCCGGGATTTCTTGTCATAGTGGCGTCGAGCTAAAAACAAGGAGATATAGTGTGCTTCCGAAAGCCGGGAAGGACGAAGTTGAACCGACAACCTATAGAGTGTCAGCACGGCACGTTGACATGGACGGAAGGATTGGTTGGCTCAGGCGAGTAGCATTCTGTGTAGACTGTGATGTGACTGTGCGTGGATGGTGGCTTCAGAGCCGGATATTGTGATAGCAGAGTGATACAAAGACGGAAGCCGAGCACGAGGGCGGCATGGATTGGGGAACAGAGACCGCGAGAGGATTATATACTCGAAGCTCGTGGAAGGATGGGAATGGAGGATGGAGAGATCTTGGAAGCTGTAGAGACGAGTATAGTCCGGCCGACTAGCGGAGCCACTAACGCCTGGCCGGCTACTACCCCTCCCCACCCCCGTACTCTCTCGAGACTCTTCTCTTTAATTATCTCTCTGCCTCACTCTTACACAATCTCTCGCTGCTACTCTACGGTCTCTTGATCTGTACATATCTTCTGTATCGGCTCTCCGTCATTCCTCCTCGCGCTTTCTCTTATCTGCCAATTGCGATCGGTCCCATCCGCAGTCTGTCGCTGGAAACTCTTATCACTGTGGGGTTTGGCTTTGGGTCTTCCACTATCTCTGGGTGGGTACAGCCAGACCAGCATCCACCTACGCTGCCTCATCACGTTTGCAACATCATCTCCCCCGCGTCCTCTCTTATACCTCCAACAAGCGACCCTCATATTCGTTCGTACTATGCTAATGCGCTTCTTTTGGCCTAGACGGTTTGACATTGGAGCCTCTCTTATGAGTGAGTGATCATGTTTCCCGCCTTACACGTGCTGGACCATACGATGTCCAACATGATGGCGCGATCTCCACCACTAACATTGCGGGTTTCATCATAGGCATTCCCTAGATAGTCGCCAGGCGCTACCGCAATCCCCAAATTATGCGGCCTTGATTTCGCGTCCAGACCTTGTTTACAGTGCTGGAATTGGTAATTTTCCGCCATTGACATCTATACCAACCCAACGACTCGACACAAACACGCTTTCATCGATCATGGCAACTGTTGTGGTGCAGCAACCGCTACGCCACACCACTCCTCCACCTGGATCTGTCACTCCAGCTCTGAGCTTGAACAGAACCTCTTCTCCCGTTCCGAACAAACATATACCCGTTTGCCCTACAGGCCCGTCGCCCATTCCTTCGCGAACTAGTTCGCCTGCTCCGAAGGAAGATGCCGTCCTTCCAGCATCTTCACCTTTACACCCGCCCGATGCGTTTCCGAAGATCTCAGATTCACCTCCGTTATATTCGATAGAGATCGAGATCCTTTTGGCCGCTGTCAATCACTGTTCTTCGCAGCCGCTGCCGGATCCCAGTTTGATGTTTCCCTGGCTACATGGATTACATCCCGACAACCATCTACAGGTCGGGTTCTTCACCAACCGACGACGCTCTCTTCGGCGGACGCCAAAATGTTGGAGAGGTCTAACGATTGTGAAAGTAGGCGGCGATTTGTCTACATCGAGGTTGAAAGGCGCCGTGACTCCTGAGGCGATTCTTGCGCCATCGGGCTTGGAGTTTCTCTCCGTTGACCCTCGGGAAGGGTTCTCTGTGCGCAATTTCCAGATTCAGACAGCCAAGGTGGCTCCGCTATCAGATATTGTCGTTTACGGCGAAGATAGCGTAACTGCGAAGCAGCTTCTGGAAGTTGCAAGCCGGATCACAGCCGCACAGCATCACTGGAGGTTCAAACACGACCTTGACCAGACCCTTCCGTCATACAATACATTTGTTGTCTCGTGTTAGTCTCAACCTCCTATTGGCCGCCTCGCGATTCGAGAACTGAACCAATCTAGGTCCATTTTCTGATATAGAACGCAGGGCTCCCAGTCTGATAGCTGTCAATTCTAGCGGCCAACTTACAAACCAAGTCGTGGATCTCTGTGAGTTCGCTTGAAATTTGCTAACTACTCTGTCTAACAAGCGTTCAGTTCAGTTGGAGCGCTTGGAGATGTGTACTATGTCTCGCGCATCGGAGTTCTCAAATAACGTTTGGCAAGGCCCTACGCCAGACTATCTCCTGCAAGCTGGTGCCTCTGGCACGCCTTCAGCTGAGGCTTTTGACCTGATGATTGATACAAATGACCTTGCTGGAATCCCGGGTCCTCGCCATTTGGCAAATCTCGCCAGGCGCCTCGCGAAAGAGCCGCAGCGCTTAGACTTTCCCTCTTCCGGCTCCCTTCTAACTCCGACCGGGGAGAGCAGAGATCTTGATGATCTGATCAATACTCTTCGATGGATTTATTACATCGCGAATCCAGAGATTCCAGAGACGGATGCTGAGGGGGATCTCTCCATAGATGCTCCTCTGAGAAAGACACGAAGGATATTGATTCACTGCCCCGATGGGTATACAGAGAGTTCTCTGCTTGTGATCGCCTACACTATGTTTGCCGAAGGCATTCCTGCAAGTGAAGCATGGCTTCGACTTCACCGAGAAAAGAAAAGAAACTTCTTCGCCTACCCTTCAGACGTCGCGTATTTGAGGAACGTTCAAGAGAGGATACTGCAAGAAAGCCCTGCAAATCCCCCACACTACCGCGTGCCCGACCCGCAATGGTTCAGATACTGCGACGGATCCCTCCCAAGTCGGATTCTGCCCTATATGTATCTCGGAAACCTATCTCACGCAAATAACCCAGAGATGCTGTGGGAGCTCGGTATCAAGCGTGTTCTCAGCATCGGTGAAGCTGTAACATGGAGTGACTCGGATATTGCAAGGATGGGTGCCGAAAACTTAATGCACATCACCAAAGTCCAAGACAACGGCATTGATCCTTTGACACAGGAGTTTGATCGCTGCCTCCAATTCATACGTATGTGTTTATCTATATCTGTTGTTCCAGCTAACATACTTTTAAGGCAAAGGAAAATCGGACGGGGCTGCCACTTTGGTTCATTGTCGAGTGGGTGTTTCGCGCTCCGCAACAATATGTATTGCCGAGGTCATGGCATCTCTCGACTTATCTTTTCCACGGGCATAGTAAGTTGTCTTTGTCCGATCTCTACACGTTGCTGACCTAGCCCCAGTTGTTACGTCCGGGCAAGAAGGCTCAATGTTATCATTCAGCCCCATCTACGATTTGTGTAAGCAACGATATCAACCTTATCGAGATTTATTAGGGCTAACGACGCCTACAGGTACGAGTTGCTAAAGTGGGAAGAACTCCAGCAAAGGAAAAACAAGCAAACTCTCAAAAGAGAGCTCGAATGGGCGACCGTGGCTCGCGAAATTGCCCTCATGAATAAACCTTACTCGAGATGAGTAGACGTGAGAGTTGACGATGATGACCTCTCACCTTTGGGCCTACTACACGAGCGAGAAGCCCCGATATACCCACCACAGATACGGATAAATAACGACACCCCCATTGATACATGGATACCCAAAGGAACGACCAGACGAACTGATGAGCCATCTTCTCTTTCTGACACGATATGACCGGACCTGACATGATTTGATTTTGGCGCTAGACGGATTTGATTTGATCTATATGGATATGTCCTGCCTTTTTCCGTGACACAACTACTTCTCTTCCGATGTTTTTCTGCTTCTCATGGATCTTATATATTTTATGGTCGTTACATGTCACCTTATCATCTTACGGGACTATGTTTCCTTTCAGTACCTACGTACGGCTTGGTTCCAGTCTCGATAAGCACCATAGCGTCGGCTTCTGGTAGTTGAATTTAATCGTTACGCATTTCCCTATGCGACCTCACGTATCCATTGTGGTCGACATTAACTTTTCTCGGACCATGGATGCTTGACACCCGTGCCGCTCGAATCACCGGGACGCATAGTATCGCTCAAAGAAGATACTAGGGGCATCTGAAAAGGCGCAATAAGATTGTCGGCAAGGCGCGAACAAGATATAGAAGTGATACGGTCGACGTTACGTGGAAAAGGCGAACGCGGGACCACGGCCAGAGACAGACAGGATGGGAGTTGTGGAGGAAGCCATAGCCCTAACTTTGTCCACTTCTCCACCAAGTGCTTCGACCCTGCCACTGAGAACTGGCCCCCTGGGTACGACGGTCTTTCCAGGAGCTGCCGTTTCCCCTGTATAATCATTCCGCTCAGTGCCACCTAGATACCCGTGCCCGCTCATACTCTTCCTCCGAATAGTCAGACCATTTATTTTGCTGTGAACATGGCCCATCGGAAACCTTTCGAGCGGTAAAACGCACTCCTCTCCCCACGCAAGGAAGACTAGCTTCTCCAGCAAAGCTGGCGAAACTCGCACCTTTGAACTTGATAGTGCCGTCCTCCGCCTGATGGTAAATCTGGCCCTCTCCGGTCTCGCGACATCTTAACTTCAAGTGGAACGTGTTGTCCTGGGATCCTCCTGTCTTGCTCTTTTTTGACCCGCGAGCCTGTTGGGAACTGGATGCTTTCCTCTTGGTTCCTGCGATGGGTCTCTCGTCCACACTGTCCTCGTCCATAGTGTACTCGTCCTCACTGTCTTCGTAGTCCTGGTCAGCTTGGGAGCAGTATTGCTCCAGTACGGCTTTCTCTCGGCTCATAATCATGACGCCCTCGAGAATTCCGAAATCGAAACAGACCTCAAAGATACCCGGCTCATCGGCCTCATGGATGTCGAGCGACAAATCCTCCGCAGCATCCGGCCATTCGCTTTCGATGGATTCACATTTGACCGTGTACGTCCCAACGGGCGACGTTTTGGCTTTCTGAGCCGTCGTCCGACTCTTCTTATCCTTTTTCTGTGTCTGGGCGTCGTCGGTATCCGTTTTCGCGCGCTTTGTCGCTCGTGATTTCTCCTTCTCCTTCTCCTGTGCTTTGAGCTTCTTTGCCTCTGCCTGCAGCTTCTTCTTCTCCTTGGCGGCGTGGCCTTTGGCTGCTGCTATCACGGCAGCACGGTTCCACCCCATGAAGACAGTCTGGGTCTTCGGGCCCCGACCTGTCTCACAATGCAGGCCCGCAATCTCGTCGGCCGCCTCTCTCATCTGCCCAGAGCGGTACTCGCTGGATAGCTCAAACGGCACTTCAACGACAGTGGTTGTCCTCGTGTGATCTGGCTGCCCGTCTCCGCCCAGGAAGTACGCCTCCATCACCCACTCAGGTGGAGCGGGTGTATCGTCTGGACGGCGAGTCTCGAGCCATTCCCTTAGTAGCTGTCCTTGCAATGTAAGAATGTGTTCAGGAACCGCGTCGCATTTCCCCTCCTGCAGTGCCTTTTTCAGCAGGGCCGTCCCCTTGCCGGAGAAGTTTTGTTCGTCGAATGGAACGCCGTAGTGCTGGAGTTGGCCGCGGACGAAATCGCGGCGGTCCCGCAGTTGCCTTTGGCCTTCGGGTGTCAGCTTCGGCAGGAACATGCGTCGGAGAGAGGGGCCGTCTACGCGCATGATGCTCCCGCGAGTGGTGTAGAATCTACCGTATGCGGAGGAGAATCCGTCGCGGGAGACCTCGTTGCTTCGGTCGAACGACATGATGCTGGGTAGCAGCTTGCAGATTCCGTTTGAAATACTGTAGCTAAGTCCAGGATGTCAGGATGGATGTGAGAAGTCTGTGCAACCTTCTTGGTGGGGTTGATACGGAGTCCTCCTCCGCTGTTAGGGTGAAGCTAAACGAACAGGGCATGCTTGTGCTGATTAGAACCGATAAGGGACTTAGGGTTAGTGATTACTAGACAGGCAGTTGGTCAAACAGTGGTAAAAAGAGCACTCAGGATTTGGAAAATGTAGAGGGAAAAGTGACTATAGTGGTCGACTTGTATAGCCTCATCAGGATTTGTTATTTACGCCATGAAAAGTTGTTTATGCGGAAAAATCATCATTTAAGTAGCCTTCTAGTTCCATCTACCAATCTTCTTCTATTCTAGAAGCTGTCTTCATCTGGCAGTGTATCGTATGGCAGTGCCTCCAAGATCCAAAATTCTCTGGCACTCAAAGAACAACGCCTGTAGCTTGGGCTGAACGTTCAAAGAAAAGCCCCTCGTAAGCACCCCGGTCATTCTTCAGCTTCTCCCCAGACTGCAGTTCCGCCAAATCCTTGTCCTCATCAGACCCTAACACCCACTCCTCACGATCACCAAAGGCATCAGACAAGACCCCAACAAGTAGCCCTATGGCCATGGTCCCAAAACCATTACTTGCTGGACAGAGGAACGGAGAGCAACCAAAGGCCAGAAAATTTTCCCTTTGCGTCTTAGATATCTCCTTCCACCGAGCTGGCTTGAATTCTAATGCGCCAGGGCCCCAGACTTCCATGTCGCGATGGCAAGCTTCCACGTTTGCTGCCGCGGTAATGCACTGTTGGCGAATGGAGCCAGCAACAGGGAACTTGAATATACGCCTAATTCGTCGCGTGGGTGGGTAAAGGCGTAGTCCTTCCTTGACGATGAACTCGGCGGAGATGCCGTTGTCATATTCGCGACGAAATTGAGCTGTTGTAGGCTTCCGTGCGAACTCGATGAGGATCTGCTTGTAGCGCTGGTTGTGGTGACCACGAAGAACAATAAACAAACTGAGGACAATTCGCCAAAGTGTCTCAAAACTGGGTATGATAAGATTCAGAGGGTTTGAGGCAGGATCGAAAATGTTGACGTCGGGCTTGTGGTTGGCAAAACAGCAGACAGGCGAGCTTGAAGGTCGGCATTATCCTTGAATTCCAAGACCTTTTGCTCTCCTGCTTCACCTTTCATATCAATCCAAGTGCTGTTTATAATCTTCCCGAGGTTGGCCAGGTCTTCAGTTCTGATCTGGATCCCGTTCCTCATTTCGGAGGAAATAACCCAAAGCGAAGTCCTCAGCGACAGAGCTCGCACTTTCGGTGTTACTGCTATTCTGGCCTGAACTCCGTCAAGATTCTTATCGATGATTCCCTCAATCATACGAGAAAGTTCACGAGCCAGTCCATCCCAGTCGACCCCCGCAACACTGATAAGTCGTTGTGCTTCTTTGACAAACTTCTTTGCGTCACTCTCATCGTTGGTCGTAAAAGCATTCTGAATCCCAAATGTCCACTTCAGATTCCCATTCTTCCTGGCTCTGGCTTCGTAGCTGGAAAGCGTATTTTGTTTGCCGTCGGGGAACCGAGTGCCCTCAATAATTAGACGGCATTCGGAGGTCGTTGTGAAGATGTGTTGCTCGGGATCAGAGGGGTGGAAACGGACGAAGGAAGCAACATATTTAATGATGGGCATTAAACAAAGCAGTATCCAGAGAGCCACACTCGATGCCATGACTATGACTGGGTATTCTGCTGTTTTGATTGTGTTGCTGCTGGGAGACTCTGGGGCTTATGGAAGGAATTGGAAGAGTTAGATAGGCCGGTTGGAGGATGGGGCCCTTACCAATGGAAGGAGTGGTGTCCACACCTTGATAAAATAGACTGCAGAGAAGCAAACGTCAGTGACAATACCTTTGAATGTCAATAAATCCAGACCACTTGCCTTAATCCTGTCCCTAAATCATCTCTGGCAGCCTTTTGTGGAAATTGATTCACTGTGATCTCCCTCACTGTGCAATCTATCAGTGGGTGTTTTTGCATTGCCGACCTTCAGGCTGGCTCATTGTCAGTGAAGCCGACGTAAACTCAGCTTCCCAGTGTCGCTATATGTTAATACTGCAGCTTTTATCAAGACAGTCGAATTAAAGATATCGCATAGAAAGCTGAGAGGCCCTGCCTCCTGCACTTGGTACAAGGAAAAAGACGCTGGGAAGATTGAGAAACTTGAGTCAAACGGACATATATTCAAACAAAGCTGGGTATATAACAGTAGAGAATTGCTATTCTCACGGTAACTTTCCTATTCTCACGGTAATTAGCACCCTCTGGCCGCGCTGGCGCGGGAGCTAGCCGCTTTAGTACTAGTAAGTAAAAAGGCCATTACTAAGCCTATTTAGGTTCCGCCTTTTAATTCTGCCAGGCAGAAAACTTAACGCGCATTAATTATTAATATTTTTAAATTTTAATTTTTTATATAAAAATTAATATTTTAAACTTAACTAAATACAGGCAAGTTCTAACTTTTAGGTAGCCATGTATATTAATTAATAAGAATATATTATTTAAAATATAAATTCTTACTTTTTTTACTGCGCTGCGCTTAACTATAAATACTTGCTTTAATAAAAAACCTTAACACCTTTCTTACCCCCCTTTTTAACTAGTTAATTTATATGTTTTGTTATCACCGCTATGGTGTTGCAACTGCGCAGTGTTATAATGACACAATCCGGCGGCCTGAGGCCACCTGGCGGAGGAACTTTGGCGCTAAACTAGCCGCGTGCTAAGGCAGCGGCCAGTTATATAATATATAAAATACTAAGTTTAACTTTAAACTTTAACTTAAAAAAATTAGTAATTAATTCCTATTATAAATATATAACACCTTTTTTATTATAGTAATTCACGTTTTCCTAAGCTTATTATAGTATATAAACATAACTTATAGTTTTAATTACTTTTTTTTTTAAAAAAAAACCTATTTTATATAATAACTAAGTAATAAACTTAATCCCAGGGGCCGGCGGATAACACTCTAAAAAAGTAATTATAAACCCTAACTTAATAACTAACTAACATGCCCAAGAAAAAATTTATAAACTTTTAATTAAAAAATCCTAAGGGCACCCCTACTACTAAATCCTAAATTATATAGGAAATATTAAAACGCGAAGCGCCCACCCAGGGGTAAAAAAATAAAAATAATAAAAAAATTATTAAGGAACTGCAAGCAACGCTAGAAGTAATTTTAATAAAAAAAAAAAATTATAAAAATAAGAACGTTGTAAAAAAAAAAAAAAAATACTAATAAATTCATGCCTAAATTAAAAAGGCACGCTAATAAATTACAAGGGCTAAAGCTAAATAATAAATATATAATATACCTATTTAATTTATTAAGTAACTAATAGTCCCCCGCTAAATAGACTTTAATAACCTTGTAATTTTAAAGGAAACCACTAAAGGGGTTATAGTAATAATAATATAACCTAAAAAGGACTTTTTAAAAAAGTTACTATCCGTAAAACCATACTGGGCAAATAATATTAAGGAATTTAATAATTAAAAGTTAAATATAAAAATATACTTTAAAACCTTCCTAACCTACTACCTAAATAATAACCATAAAATATTTTAATTTATTAGATTCCTAGCAAAGAACCGTAGGCGGGAATAGTTTAATATTTATAAAGCAAAAATTATATTTACCTAAAAAAAATTTCTTAACACGCTGGTTAAAATAATTAATAATAAAATAATATTAGTTAATAACTTATTAATTAAGTGGGGCAACGCAAAGTAGTAATTATGGTAAATTATTAGGTAATTTATATAGTTACTAAACTAAATTAAAAAATACTTACCCCATAAGTATAATAATAATTAGCGCTAAGGACACCTGTATTAAAAGATTCTAAAAAATATATAAAAAAAGTTTTTTATTTATAAATACCAAGAATTAAAGCGCTACAATAACTATATATTATACTTAATAAGTATTAAAAATAACATGCCCAAGCGGAAAAAAATAATTATAAAAAAAAAAAAAAAGTTTCTTAACTAAACTTATATAAAACCACTAGCAACCAAAGTTAGGGCGCTATTTATTATTAAAAAAAGTATAAAAGTAAATACTAGTATAAAACAACCTAATAATTTAAATAATTCCTTATTTATAAAAAAGCCATACCTAGGTAAATACCTAAACTATAGCCATGCTGGACACTTTAAGTAATATTATTAATTACCAGGCGGAGGGCAGGAAAAAAAAGTGCCTTTATAATAGTAACCTTTAAGCAAATCTAGTAATATAAAAAATATAAAACCTTAAAGCTTTACATAGTGCAAGCTTTAAGGGTTTATATAAAATAAAAAAATACACCGCGGGCCTGGGTAATTTAGGTAAAAATAAAAAAAAAAAATAAAAAATAATAATATACAAGGGTTCTTGTTAACTTTAAAGTAAAAGTAAATTTTATAAACCAGTGCTAGGCAAAGTCCTACCTAATATAAAATAAAAAACTAGCCTATAAAGTACGCGTAGTTAATAACCACATAATAATATCCTATAAAAAACATATACTTATAGTTTATGCTAGAGATTTTACGCGCAATATATAATATTATTAACAAAATTTTAAAGCTATTAATATTAATAGTTATAATATAATTTTAGGATTTCCGTGGCTGCTAGCCGCGATGCCCATTTTAAATTAGTAAACTAGTAATTAAATATATAGTTAAAAAGTAAAGTATAATTTTAAATATTTATAATATATAATAACAGCATAAAAATACGCTGCAAAAATTACTATAAAAGTTAAAGTACTCTTAGTATAAATTTTTAAGTAAAAAAACCATGTTATAATACACCTTAATAGGGCAAAGGTTAAAAAAATCCTGTTACCTAAATAATATTATAAATACATAAATATATTTTTTAAAGTAAAAGTAAATATTTTTATATTTTATTATTCCTATAATTATATAATTAAGTTATAACCCGGTGCTAAGCCTTTAAGCAAGCACATTTACTTACTATTTTTAAAAAAGCTTAAGGTTCTACGCGAATATATTAAAAAAGCCCTTAAAAAAGGCTAAATATATTTATTAAAAAGCCCTGCGGGAGCTCTAGTGCTATTTACACTAAAAAAAAATAATAACCTATATTTTTACGTAAACTATTAAGGCCTAAATACTATTATAATTAAAAATATATACCTACTATTACTACTTAACGCGACCCTTAACTATTTAAAAACAGGAAAAATCTTTACATAGCTAGATTTATAAAACGCGTACCATAAACTCTAAATTTACAAGGGAGATAAGTAAAAAACAGCGTTTAAAATATAATTTAAACTTTATAAATACTAAGTTATGCTATTTAAGCTAGTAAATACACTAGTAATATTTTAATTTTATATAAACCACGCCCTAGCTAGGCTAATTAATATAATTTATATTACTTATTTAAATAATATTATTATTTTCTTGGAAAACAAGGAGAAATATAAATAATATATATAAATAATTTTTAAAAAACTACGCGATTTCAAGCTATACACAAAAGTTAGTAAATACTTATTTTATATTAAAAAGATTAACTTCTTAGGCTTTATTATAACCACTAATAAGATTAAAATAAAACTAAAAAAAGTCTAGACTATTGCAAAGTAGCCAATACTAAAAAATACAAAAAAAGTAGTATTTTTCTTAGGATTCTGCGGCTTTTATTAAAGGTTTATTAAAAACTATAGCCAAGTCGCGGCAGCACTATTTAACCTTATAAAACTTAATATAATTATAAAATACCCACTAGAAAAAAAGGCCCTAAAGGCATTTAATATATTATACCTTAAATTTATAAAATAGCTATTATTATAATACTTTAACCTAAAATTACGCATGTAATTATAAACTAACACCTTAGGGTATGCTATTACCAGGGTATTATTTTAACTAATAAAAAATATATAGTGGCATTTAATTACCTTTTAATCCTATAAATTAAAAAACGCAAAAACCTAGTATAAAACCCATAATTTTAAAATACTTGTAATTATAAAATACTTTTAAGTTTAAAAATACTACTTTAAGGGTAGTAAATTCCCTATTAAGGTACTTATAAATTATAATAATTTATAATAATTTATAATAACTAAGAACCTAACACGAAAACAAGCATAATAGGCTAAAAAATTTATAGCTTTTAACTTTATTATTAAACACTGCCCAGGGGCAAAAAACCTAGTAAATACTTTAAATAAAAAAGCGGACTATATCCCTAAAAAAGGAAAGAAAAAAGCTATAGGCAGGATAGTTCTTTATAAATTATAAGAGTAACTAAATAACTAACTACTATTACACCTAAAGTTTAAATTATAACTTAATATACAAGCTATTATAGTAAATAAAAACCCGCATGTAAATAAATTATAACTAAGTATTATAAAATTACTTTAAATAACCCAAGAATATAATAAAAAGTCTAAAAAAATAAAAAATAACCTTGCAAATCCAGACCGTAAAAAAAACCTTAAGCATTAAAAAGTAATAAATAATAACCTGCTATACTTTAAAAACCAAGTTTACATGCTAAAGTTAATAACACTTTATAAAAAAATTATAAAAGCAAACCATAATAAGCCCCAAGGTGGGTATTAGGGTGTTAATATAACTATTATAAATATTTTTTAAAGGTATTATTAGCTAAATATAACCAAGTATATT